TTATTATTATTATTATTATTATTATTATTATTATTATTTCGTTATTGTAATTCAATCATTCAATCAATATTACAAATAATAGATGATAGAGAATTTATTATTGATTTTATCAATAATTTCATTATCATTTTTATTCAAGCATATATGGTGAATAAGTCTTACTAGGTAAATTTCATTTAGCATATAGATCAAGTTATGAATTCATATTTCAATTTAAAATAAAAACTTTTCAATGCTTCTTTTTTTAAACAGTTAACAAAAGCATATTTTAGTTGAATTCTTGAATTTAATTATGAATTTGTTTTTGTGCCACAATGGTTTGATAAGAATAATTTTATGAATGATTAATCTTTTTTTTTTTAATATTACTAAAATAAATGATATAAACATGTTTACATTTTGAAATGACAATTCTTATTACACTGAATAGTTTAAATTGTGACAATAGAAGAAGAAGATTAGATAGTACGGAAAAAAGATGAAAATCAAAAATGTTGAAAATATATTTGACTAAAATTTTTTGCAAGCATTCGAAGGAAATATTTGCAATATGTATATGTTGTCTGCTAAATTCTGTCTATTTTATGGATGAATCATTGATTTAGCAATATTATCATAGATTTTAATAAACCAAAACATAAGAAGTATCTTACATTTTTTTTTTCACACTTAGTACTTATCATATCATGGAAGAAGAAAGAGGCGAAATTTATATTTACATATATTTTTCTCAGGAATTTATTTCCGGAAAAATTAACTCTATAGTTTTTTTTTTCTTTTAAATTATTGCTATAAAGATTCATAGAAACAAATCATCAGGAATGATATGAATGTATACATAAGCATATAACACTTCGTTTTTTTCTTAAACAAATTATTAGGAATAATTTGATACATCAAAATTTGTGTATTATTCCAAAATTTTTATAATTTAAGTTTAAATTTAAAATTATCTCAAGTGTTTTCATTTTTATTATTCTGTTATCTTATTATTTCTGCTTTTTTAAATCTTTATTTCTTTCTCTCTTTCTCTCTCTCTCTCTCTCCCTTCTTTCTCTCCCTTCTTTCTCTCCCTTCTTTCTCTTCCACCTTTCAACAACCTATTTTGATGAATTCTATCGTTGAGTAACATTATGTTAAATAAGTGCTAATACATTCCTTTTTTGCTATTTAAATCATTATTAATCATTACTATTTTGAATCATTAATATAATGGAAACTTATTGAATGATAGTAAATGTATATTATTATGGTTGTAATAATTTTTCTTTTTTTTTTTGTAAGTTTCAATAATTGTATTGTGAAAAAGCATCGTTATCTCATAGTGATAATGATATCATTTGACAATATCATTATTTTACACCCGTGAAAAAGTGAATGAAACTATCAAATAATTGCAAAGTATTTTCAGATATTTCGGATGTTTACTTTAAACAAGCGCACTTTAGTGTATCTCATTATTGTTTGTTCGGAAATTTAATCAAGTTAGCACTGAAAATAAGAAAGAAGAGAAAGAAGTGAAAGGGCAATTTAAATTTAAATAAAAAGATCTGTTATTTTTTAGAAACAAATTTTGTTTTTTCGTTTTTAACTTCTCAATGTTTCACAGATGTGAGCGATACAGGTAAGCTGTTCCAAAGACATCCGGAAAACAGCTGCTGCAAATTCTTTCTTTGTTTCTGTCGAAAAAAATATTAGTTATTTAGCTTAAATGAAGCATACACATAAAAAAAAGATCTAATGGATAGCTTCCATCGTTTATTTCGGTAGCTTTACTAATTTATTTGGAAATAAAAAATGAAGGAAAAAAAGCATCACATTTTAAATGCTTCGTTGAAATATCATTGAAGCATCGTTGCCATTATCATTATTAACTGTTAAAATTTTTTGAAAATACAATTCAATAAATATTTATTTCGAACAAATTTTAATTTAAAGCAAGAAAAAAAAAGTAATGATAATAAAGATAGGAAATATTTTAGCTAAATAAAGAAATCGGATGATTTTTTTTTTTGATAGTGATTTATAACAAATGGAATTTATTATCTTTTTCCTCTTCCCCGACATTTAATAATTTATTTTGTGCTTACAAATATTAAAATCTTATATCAATTTTAAAATCATAAATTTTTATCAAAATTACTTAATGTCTAATAATTGAAATCCGGACTACGAGTCAAAAAATCTTCATTTTCACATTAGGGCTTCAAAATAAATTAATAAATGAATAGTTGAAATGATGCTGGCTAAATTATTGCTGTCTATTCCTATTACATAGGACTGAATTCGAAGTTTGTGGTTGTCATAATAAAAAGTTAAAAGAAATTAATACTATTATTAAAAAAACATCATTATATGAATGAATTCAAAATTTTCATAATAAAAATTAGTATTAGTATCATGAATATTGAAGAACATAAAAACTTTTTCTTAAAATCAACAATAATTATATAATTTCATAATCCAAATTCTAATTTGATGTATATGTTGTAGTGAAGCTGCAGAAGAACAATATAAGCAACAAGTTGGTGCAGGACCGGATCATGCGCTTGGTGCTAGTGATCGACATTTCAATCCAGAAATTTCGGAAACATTAAAAGTAATAAGAGCTGGTGAAAATGATACATTTGGCCAACATTTCAATGAGATGATAGCGCAGGCGGAAATTCCTCATATACCACCACCACAGGTTTAATTAACATTAGCAAATTATTTTATTAATGATATATTGATGTAAATTAATTTTTAGAAAATAAATGTATTTTTTTTTAAATTTTAATGTAAACAACAACATTATTCAAGTAATTACATTTGTACATATATTCCTAAATTAATTATTGATTTAGTTTTTAGAAATGTTAACATTTAACTAATAATTTAGAATTTATTTCAAATTTTTAAAAAAATAATTAAAAATTTATTATTATTTTTTTTAGGAACCATATTGGACGCATACAGCACGTAGTCGAAGTGAACGAGCTCGTTCAGCAACACCTTCTGCTACACAACCTTATTATGCACCACAATATTCCACTTTACAACATCCAAAAAAGCAAAGTGAAGAAAGGTATATTGTTAATTTCATAATATTAATTGATGGCCTTGATTTCGTGGAAAGAAAATTAAAAATTACATTATAGATTTGACAACTTTCAAAAGTTTAATTATAAAAGTAATGTAAAAATTGATTTACAAAAAAAAAAAAAAAGTTGAGTGGAAAATTATTTATGCATTTAGTGGTAGCAAATGTGTTGTAGATCAACGAAACGAGGATATGAATTTGGTGGATTAGATTACGTTGATAGATCACGTATACCACAGGATTCATCATCTTACATCTACTACGGAGATACTGCTCGAAGATATCATGATGAGCATAAGATAACTCCAGGATATGAAATGGGTGGAATGGATTTCCGGAAGGATGCAATAGGAACAGATGGTCCATATCATGGTCATGGACCGGAACAACGTCGTTTGCATTCCAAATTTGATCATAATTTATTGAAACGTGATGAGATGAATATTGAAGTGGCATCCAATGTTGATCACGTTTCAGCTGATATCCTAGTTGGAGATACGCGATCAAATCAACATCTTGCTAAAAATGAGCAACCGGATCATTGTTTTGGTACATCATTTGGACCACCTGCTGGTTTTACCCATCAACATCGTACCGTAAATCGTCAGGAAGAAACAACGAAACCAAAAACATTTAGTTTATCAGCAAAAATAGATAATTCTGCATATCGAAAAAGTAATGCATCAAGGATACATGATAAAAACTCTATTTCACCATCTTATCATGCACCATCAATAGATCTTGCTGGTTATACATCACAAGCAGTTACCAATTATTCATCAAATGATATTACTGGTAGACGTATCGGTGATACTGATGGAAGTAGTACACCGTATAGAAAGACAGAACAAACATGGATTCGACCACAAAGTATGACACCAACAGAAAGATACGAATGGGCCAATGAGAATATCGAGAAAGAGGTGACAATTGAGACACTATTGAACGATAAAGCGCTAATTGCTCAAAAGAGGTCGATGACCCCGGAATGGCAATCAAAGTCATTCGAAAAGCATAATCATTGGAAGAACAGGTCGGACCCTCGCTTTACCCGCTCCCAGGTCCTGTATTTGTTCCATTCTTCCTGCTTCCGTTTCTGCTTTTATCCTCTTCCATCATCCCATTCTCCAAATCCTTTTTCCATCTTCATCTAAATTATTATTCTACATATTCGTACATACCTTATCATACCTTTAACTAATTCCGCTTAATTCATCCCTCTGTCAGTTTAATAAAAACATAAAACTTCTAATTCGTTTTTTTTTTTCGTTGCTATTGCTGTGCAAATTGATATTTAACTTAAATAAAATGCCTTATAATGACACAAGTAATGTTTTTTAACGATTTTTCACTTTTTTAAAAACTAAAATTTTTTCAAAATGATAATGCTTAATTTTTTTTTGACTATAAAAGTTTAATATTAATTTTAGAAATTTACACGAAAAATTTTCAA